TCAGCCCCTTCGTGCATTGGCTAACCCCTTGGAGACGAAATAGCTCCAACCCAGCCAACCACCTCCATTTTTTTTTTTTTTTTTGATGGCGAAAACTTTATTTAAAGCAATCTTAACGGAGGAGTCCTCGGTCGAGCGAGCTCCCTAGTGCCAGCAGAATCCCGGGATAATGGAATGGTCTGGATGGGGCTCGCGCACGGTGGGGCCCTGACTCAGAAGAGTCAGCGAAGCTCCTGCCCGAGGCCCCGGTGGAAGAGGAAGGAGAGGGGCGCCAGTCTTGCAGCGTCCGTGGTGCCGACGGTGGCAGGAGGCGCAGGGAGCGAGCGCCTTGTGAGGCGGTGGCAGCCCCCCTGAGTGCCAGAGGGCTCTGGGCTTCATTTCCTTAGTTTCTCACTGCGGCACAGGGGATGGGCGCCCGCTTCCCTAACTTTGCCCAGTCCGGGAATGCAGGCTGGAGGACGGATGTCAGCCCTGGCGAGCTGCTGGCCGGCCGCGAAGATCACAGTGCCACACTTTGCCCTAATTAGCCCTACACAGCTGTGAACCCAAGAGGAAAGCCAGGTGTTGTTCTCCTCGTTTAGCTCAAGGCCATTTCTCTTTTGAGAGCAGCTCTGGCTATTACATAACCAAAGTGTTCCAGCAGCCACTTCTCTGAAATCAAGGTTCTTCACCTGTAAAGTGTGATTCTAAATCCTGCGGTGTGTCCTCGGGTTTGGTGTCAAATGTTTCTGGTTTAACTGTGGTCTGATACTTTAGTACTAGGCAGCAAGATAAAGGACAAAGGTTTTCTGGGATCTAGTCTAGCTCCTCTGACATGGCGTATATAATCAGGTTCTAGTTCATTCTTTAAAAAAAAAAAATTAACGTTCATTTATTTTTGAAGGGGAGAGAGACAGAGTACGAGCGGGGAAGGGGCAGAGAGAGAGGGAGACACAAAATCTGAAGCAGGCTCCAGGCTCTGAGCTGTCAGAACAGAGCCCCATGCAGGGCTGGAACTCATGAGCCCGGACATCATGACCTGAGCAGAGGTCAGATGCTTAGCGGACTGAGCCACCCAAGCGCCCCAATTCATCCCAATTCAGGATTTCAGTCCATTTACTGCAACACACCATAGAATTCTTTTACTGGCAGTGTGTACTAGAAAATGAAAGCCCCCCCCTTATTTGATAAAAAATGAAATCTTGATAACATTTTAGACCATATAAAAGGCAAAGCTAAGGTATTATTGGAGACACAGTATTTCTTTTATTTATAGAGGCTTTTCTATCTGTAAATCAGGTTAATTTGTTTCTTTAGGAAATCATATTTCACTTTTCTACTGCATATTTTTGATTTTAAGACTTCATTTCCCCAAATTCACAAATCGGGCGTCTTTCTTTTCCTACTTTCAACAGTCTAATAACCTGTCACTTGTCTTGTCTTTTAGCTAGAGACACTACCAAATGAAAATAAAAATTTCATCTTCCACCAACCAACCACACAGCTAAAACTCCCCTAGGACACTTGACTACTAGATGCCAGCCTCTTAGCCGGAGGAGCAATAATGGTGGCATAATCATTATCCCAAGATTTAGATGAGATTCCATTTTCTTGTCCCGTTTGTTTTAGGATCATGCAAGATATTTCCTGGAAAGGATGTTTAATAGAGCATAAGGTTTAAAGTACCAGCCACTTCTGAAAACTACTGCACAGTAAAATCTAGGCTAAAACAATGAGGTATCCACACCACCCAAACTTCAAATAAATTAATTTGCTATGTAGATCACATAACACCTTATAGTTTTTGTCTAATGTATAGTTTTCCAGTCCTTTACATCTTCTCATGCTGATAGACGGCAAACTACAAGGTCAATTTTACTTCAACTTATTGGTAAACAGGCAGGGGCGCTTGGGTGGCTCAGTTAGTTAAGTCTCAGACTCTTGGTTTGGGCTCAGGTTGTGATCTCACTTGGTTAGTGAGATGGAGCCCTACATCGGGCTCTTCGCTGAAAGTGCGGCGCCTGCTTGGGATTCTTTCTCTCCCTCTCTCTCTCTGCTCCTCCCACACTCTCTCTCAAAACAAATAAACTTAAAAAAAAAAAAAAAACAGACAAAAACAAACTTCTACCCTTGGATTTAGGTACAGAGACGAATGCCCTTTCAGTACCAAAACCACCAACGATCTTTTATTTTTGTAGTAATCTCTATACCCAACCTTAGGCTTGAACGCACGACCCTGAGATCAAGAATCACATGTTCTTCCGACTGAGCCAGCCAAGCACCCCACCCTCTTTATGTTCAAATCCTGCTGCCTTCCCACCTGTCCTTGTGAGAGGTGTCTGCTTATGTTAAAGCACTTTCTCCCCTTGTGCTCTGGATCTCACCCCCTTCACTCCTACATTTTCTTCTGAATTTCTCCTTTGACCTTGTATTTGAAACACAGAAAAAAACAGAATGGTGTCAAGAAGATTCCCATACCAATCATTAAATTCTCTCCCTCTAGTCTGTTGATATGCTGTGTCACCCTATCTTAAAAAAAAACTAACAAACCCTCCCTTAATCCTACATCCAGCCCCCTCTTAGCAAAGCTTCGTGAAAGAGTTGTCTATAGATGTTATCTTTACTTCTTCAGTTCATATTATTTTTTTCAATAATATATATATTTCAATAGGACTTTTATCTCCACCATTCCAAAACTACACTCATAAGGTCAATACTGACCTCCATGCTTTCAGATCCATAGCCAAGTCTCCTTTGCTAGCTCCCGTTATACTTTGCCTCTTATGTTTGGGTGCCCTGAAAGTCCATCTCTATCTTCTGATTTCCATTTATACAGTTCCTAAAGAATTTTATCCAATACTACTGCCTTAAAAGACTTCTACAAGCCAACAGCTCCCATAAACCTTCAGCCCTAACTTTCCCACACCTTCCAGATTCTTTCTTTTTTCTACCTGTCCACACAGCATCTCCATATGGATGACTAGTAGACAGCTGACACTTAATATTGCTAAAGTAGGACTCTTGATATTCTCTCCTCCTTCCATGAATTTCCCCAATCTCCTATCCAATCTAGCTACTCTAGTAAGAAATACAGAAATCAGCTTTGATTCCACCTTCTTTTCTCCACCACTTCCATCAGCCAAGTCGTACCTTACCTCCAAAATATCCCAAGGCAAGCTACTCACCAATTCCACCTCTGCTAGTCTAATCCCCTATCAATTCTCACACTGAAACTACCCAAGTCTAACTTGTATCCTTGATCCTAACTCTTTCCATTATCCACAGAGCAACGATCTTTTCAAAATCAGACCATTCCTCTGTGTAACCACCTGCTTTAGTCTAAGTGTTTATGTCCCCCCAGAATTCATATGTTGAAATAATAAGCCCCCAAAATGATGGTATTAGGAGATAGGGCCTTTGAGAAATGCTTAGATCATGCTTCGTGAATGGGATTAGTGCCTTTGTAAAAGAGGCTCCACAGCGTATCCCTGGCCCTCTACAATGTGAGGACATAGCTAGAATTAGGCAGTCTGCAACCCCAAAGTGAGCCATCATCACAATAGGACCTTGCTGGTGCCCTGACCTTGGACTTTCCTGCCTCCAGAACTGTGAGAAATCTCTGATGTTTATAGGCTATCTAGTCTGTGGCATGTTGTTACAGCAGCCTGAAGGAACTAAGACACCACCCCTCTCCCATCATTTGCCACTGCTCTTGGATTACAAAAGCCTTACGTTATCTGGTCTCTGCTGCCCCCTCCAGCCTCAATTTTTACCAAGCTTCCCTTGATACACCAGCCTCTCCCTTCATCAAACACATCAAATTTTTTCCTTTCTTAGCGTTTTGCAGGGTTTCCTCCCACAGGAAGATTTTGTCCCAGTCTCACCCAGCCATTTAGGTCTTAACGCCAAACGTGCTCAGGGGAGGCCTGTCCTGACCACCCAGTCTAAAGCACTGTCCTAGTCACTCTGTCTCAGATCACCCAATTTTCAGTCTCTGCATAGCACTTACTGTTTTTGTTTTTCATTCTATGTAAGCTCTGTAAGACTTTGTCTATGTTGTTCCCCATCTACAATAGCAAATAACAGATACTCAATAAAGATCTTGTGGAAAGAAGGAAAGAAGGGCATCACATATTTACTCAATCCAATCTAAACTAGGAACACAAATAATCCGCAAGAAATCAAAAGAGAATGGGCTTTCCCAGCTTCTTACCACCTGAAAAAGCTGAATTTACAGTTGGACTTAGGACCCAGTTCCCAACCAGACAGACAACTGCAGCCGAGACAGCAAATGAGCTACGTCTGGAAAACGATCAAGCTAGAAATCTCAATCCAACTTTATCACCAGCCGCTTCAGCTCGTCATAGTAAACCAGCATGGACAACAGATTTAGCATCTATTTACCTATGAGGGAAGGGAAGGGAAGGGAAGGAGAACCATTATAAAAATTCACTTGCTTGGTTCACAAGTGGGCTCTTGGCTTTCCTCTCCTCTAAGAGTTTAGCAGTAACTCGTTTCAGTGATGTTTCCATAGTGCTTAGGGGAAAAAAACAAAATTTTTAAAAATTATACCAACTTCCGTGATATGGCAAAAATATTTATTAAAATTTTCCAAGTTTAAACTTGAAAGAGGCCTCCTGATTCAATCTTTCATCCTGGATAAATGAGATAACAAGTACTATATACAGAATATAAAGCAGTAATAGTAAAAAAATTTCTCCTAAAAATTAGTCCACCAAGTGGACAGTGGCAGAAATGGGACTCTCCAGGGCCTCAGAGAATTCAAAGCGGCACCTTAGGTGATCCAAGAAACCAATTATATTCTCCTAGTTTTCCACTTGGTTCAAGATTGGAAGAGTTAGGTTACCACCGGCTGTTTCAAGAGGTAGAAATATGCTTTCTACTAGTTCACTATTTACTGGCCCGCATGGCCTCAACAGATTCTCATACCTCAGCCCGTCTGCCTTTGGTGATGACCAGAAGACCTCTACGTCCCAGGCAGCAAGGCTTCCTGCTAGTCTCTACTTAAGATCCATGAACCTGATATCCATGATGAGAAGAAAGTTCTTAGGCAGTGGGCGGGGGGCCGGAGAGAGAACAGTAAACACCTGATGCTCCAGGTCCACGCTGGTCACCACGATGAAGCCAGCGACACTTGTCTCAGAAAGGTTCTCCTCTGTGCCCTCAGCAGTGCTAACACTCAGGAGGTGGTGCACCATATCGCGGCCAGGCGTGACAGGTACTAGCTTGAGCTGATTGTCCTCCTGAGACATGCCCAAAGGCAAACAGGAGTCTGGAATGGTGGGTGCCCCAACTTTGTAGATTTTCACATCTGAAAATTTGACATTGAAGGCATGGGGATAGAAACAGCCCCGGAATCCATAGAAATACTCACGGATACGCTCATCCCTACATTCCCGCCGGAAGTCTTTGGAGCGTTCAACCACACCCCCGGATTTAGGGAGCAGCACAGTGCGTACAAAGTGAGGCAGGTCCCGTTTTAGTTCGTTGTACAGTCGTTCTTGATCCAGAACCACAACCACATCTACCTCAAAGGCTGAGGCAGCGTGCACCAGGGCCTGGTAACCAGAGCCCTTGACCCAGCCACAGGTATTAATGACACAGCCACTCACAGAGGCCCTTCGGTTCACTTCACATCTTTGATTGAACACATCCGCTAAACGAGAAGTAATCTGCAGAAGAAAGCACGAAGGTGAGGAAAAGAGACACAAAACTAGCAAACTCATAGCTATGTAGAATAAGTGGTTATTAGGTACAAGAGAAGATGACATTCTTAATGGCTGTGGTTTTAACCTCATTAACATGGATTTCGTTTTTATGTTGTTTCTTCTGTTTATTGTTTCATGTCCTAAGTAGAGATTGAGTTAATTACTTAACAACGGGTCCACAGACTTGTTTAACAATCTGAGGTTGACTTATATCTGAAACGGTCTTTCCCAAAATCATCTGGAAGTAATACCAGCTGAGAGGGAGCAAAGAAATGACCACAGACGGTTTTAATTAGCACACTTTTGCACAGCTTCCTATCCTGATAGCAGCCCTTCCCTCCATCCCCCCTTGGCGCCGGCTCTGACCTTATTATAAAGCTTGATGTTGGTGCCAGGAGTGGTGGAGCCAAAATGATACACCAGAGGGGCCTGGATAGAGAATCCCTCTTCAACATCTGCCGGCCGCTCAATGTAGAGGGCCCCCATGGTACCAGGGATGGAAACAGAGCCCTGACCCACATCCAGCTCCACGTAAGTAGGACGGCGGCCCAAACGCACTGCGTAGTTGAGCAGTAGACGGCACACTGTGGACTTGCCCACATCAGTGGGGCCCACTACCATCACCCGGGGGCCTCGCTCTTCTTCCTTCTCCGCCTGCCTCCTCATCTGCTCCAAGGCTGTGTGAGTGTTGAGATAAAGTAACATAGGAGTGTCCTTGGAGACATAAGCCACCTCGGTGCGGCCACTCAGCTGTAAAGAACAGCCATGCCAAGTGAAAACAGCCACCTTGGCACCAGCATCAAAAGTGAATTTCTTGTTTCGGGTCAGCTCTGTGCCGAAGATTTCTGCCATCCCAGCCAGCAGCTCCAACTGAACTGACTGAGATGCCTCCACCTCAAAGCGAAGTTCTGTTTCTCGCTCTAGTTCAAATTTAGTTGTTGGCTTCTTGTCATCATTGGCCTCCTCTCCCATCTTTTCTGTGTAGCTGCTGAGCCTAGAACACAAATTAATTATCAGATCTAAACAGAAGTTAGGACACTGTTCAAAATCCTCCAATGGATACTTCTCCTTACCTGCTTTATTTTTCTCCTTATCTGTGATCACCACCTGTCTCACTATACATTTATTGTCTGTCTACCCCCACTGGAACGTAAGGGTTGGGCAGTCTGGTTTGCTGCTGTATCTCTAGTATCTAGAATAGGACTGGACAACCGGTAGGCACCTCATAAGTACACCGAGTAAATAAATGACTCAGACATAAGAAAACTGTATCTACAGATTGACCTAAGACTTGATTATATCACCTCCATTGCTCCTTTCGTCACTCTCGGGATACTCGACTTAAGAGGGCAACTGATTCCCTCTTATTCAACAAGAAAGGGCGTCTGCAATCTGGATGCAAAGCAGAGAATATGGAGTTTGCACTTGGAAACAGCATTAAGGTCCCGCTCAGCAACTACTAGGTAGTGTCTTTAGACAAATCACCTAACCTTCTCCTCAGCTGTCACCTGGAGTCACTTACACTTCCTCTCACAAAGTGTTGTGCTGGGGACTGTTGGAGGGAAAAAATTACTCCGTAAACTAGAAAACGCCGAGAAGTAATGAAAAATGATTTCCGATCCCGAGCCGCAGCTCTAAGTCCAGCATCTGTCCCGGCACTCCCAGACGCCGAAGTCTGTCCAGGCTCTAAGGGGCGACGGTTGCATTCCTGAGCTTATCATCTCACCTGCACAAGCCACGAAACCAAACCGGTAAAACGACGAGCTCCCGGCCGGACCTAAACCCAACTACACGCCACGCTCGCCCAGTTCCACGCCGGAAACAAAAGCGGTTCCGCACTTGCGCAATGGAGGAGCCGCGGTCGCGCGATGTCCCTTGGGATATGTAGTTGTGCGGGAAAGGCCTCGAACTGTTGAGCTCGCGCAGCCGCTCGGCCTTCTGGGAGTTGTAGTTAAAGGATTGTTTTTAATCGGACGCCGAAGGTGGGAGGGGCGGTGGCCCATATTGTTTGCGAAGCCGGCGCGCCGGGGGGTAGGAGGCGTGGCGGTTACGCCCCGCGCGGGGCGGGGACCCGCCGAGGAGCCAATGGTTGCCGAGGCGCGGCTGCTGCGGATTGTCGCCCGAGTGTGCCCGCTCACCTGCAGCCAGGAAAGGAGAAGGGCGGCGGGAAGCGGGGGTAGGCTCACCATCTGGGTCCCACGACCGTCTGCTTGCCGGGACCACAAGCCAGGATGTGAGAAAATGCGCAAAACCCCACGTGGAACACGAGGAAATCTGAGAGTAAGGAAAGCGAAGAACAGCTTGTCCGAGGCCAGCCTGGGCTGTCATCCCCTACCTGACACAGTGCGTGGCACCTAGAGGGCATTAATATTTTTTGTTTGTTTGTTTTAATAAAAGAATAACAACCCAAGAATTTCTTCCAGTTACTCTTTAGGTCAGTCATTACCCAACAACGTCTCTCCTATCGAGTGGGGAGTTCTGTTGGGGACTCCTTTCCCTCCCTGAATCCCCGTCAGTTATACCAGGCCAACCATTTACCCCGCAGGCAACAGGTTGGGCCACGGTCTGTAATTCTCACGAGCTTGGGCTTTGGAATCTTGTGCTCTGCTATGCCACTTTCTCACTGCGTGACTTTGGGCAGATCAGGCTCAAACTCTGAGACCCAGTTTCCTGTCTAAAATAGGGATAATAACTGTACTCAACCTCTTAAAGTTGTTTTTAAAGATTGAATGGGATGATACATGTAAAGTACTAAGCACACTGTAACACAGCATTTGATTATAGCTTTTTAAGTTTTTATTATAGGTTGAGGAGGGGGAGCACGAATAATGCCACCCATTTGTACAGTAGTTTAAATATTTTTCAAAGCCCTTTTCACTATCTTCTTTCACAGCCACCCTGTAAAGTCAGTTTTATTATCTCCACTTTCAGACGAGAGAGGAGACTAAGGTAGGTGAAGGGACTTGCTCAAGCTAGGACTCAAACCCAGGATTTGGGAGTTTGCTATTATAATAGCCAACACATAGTGTTAGATGCTAGGTACTATTCAAGGGGCTTGACAGGCGTAAATTCATTTAATCCTCACAAGAATCCTGTGAATATACTGAAATTGTCATCCCCACTTTACAGATGAGTACTTTCTTCAGTCCGGTTACCACGGTTAATCCGGGTCCAGAAACCTGGGATGATTTTCTGGGTTGCCTTTTTCACAGTGGCCCTACCCTAGCAATCATTTGCGTGGGAGTGCCATCCTCACTGCTCACAGCTTTTTCTTTAATGGTTTGCTTTCATTCACTCATTCACCACGGCATGCATTCTCTGGTGACCTGTTAAATATCCCATGATCTTTCACCGTCCTTCAAAAATTCAGTTCCAGGATTCTATTTGCCAATTTTTTTCCCAGAATGAGCACAGCCTCTCCTGTTTCCCTGCAGTCTACCTCCCAGATCTGTTTCTTTGCCTCCACACTCTCTCCCTTGAGGCAATTTCTCCCAAATATCTGAAGGACATCTTTATTTGGATACTGTATAGCCATCTCAAGTTGAATTTCACGCAAAGAAACCCCTCTCCTCCTTTGGACTGTTTCACTTCTTAAACAAAGTGACGGCACAACATATAGAGCATCCATGCTTGCCTAAGCTCTCCTCGCTTTTTTTTTTTTTTTTAATTTTTTTTCAACGTTTTTTTATTTATTTTTGGGACAGAGAGAGACAGAGCATGAACGGGGGAGGGGCAGAGAGAGAGGGAGACACAGAATCGGAAACAGGCTCCAGGCTCTGAGCCATCAGCCCAGAGCCCGACGCGGGGCTCGAACCCACGGACCGCGAGATCGTGACCCGGCTGAAGTCGGACGCTTAACCGACTGCGCCACCCAGGCGCCCCTCTCCTCGCTTTTTAACTTCCACCAAGAGCCCTTGTCATCTGCACCCCCAACAATACGGTCCTCATGTGTCTTTTTTATTTTCCTCTCCAGCTGAATCTTTGATCATTTTCTTCCTGAGTTAAATTCATCGGTATCCCTTTTTGCTTCCAAGCTCTCCATCCTTGCCCTAAGAGCTACTCACCTACCCTTTCCCCACTTCCTTGCAAGAATGGTTCCTCAAATGCCTCCCTCCACTTACCTTTCCTTTCTCATCTGCTGCCCAGACAGAAACACTTCTTCCTTTACCCAGTTCTCTCTCTCACTTCCAAACCTCGGTGATATCACTCACGACACCTGCACTGTGTTTTCACAATTTACCTCAAACTCCAGAATCTTCCCTGATTAAATATTCAGAATTCCTTGTATTTTTTCATACCCAGCTAGCGAGGCCTCCCATTACCCACATCTCCCTACTCTTCCCTTCCTTGCATGTGAAAAGACAAACCACCCACAAGCTGTCCTTTCTACGTCCCTATCTTTGTCACACTTCATTTTCTTTCTCTTTCTTTGTTTCTTTCTTTCTTTCTTTCTTTTTTTGTCACACTTCATTTTCTAGATGGTAGCCTCTGTTGGAAGTTGGGGTTTTTCATCTTAGAGAATGTGTTCCGTGCCCACATACTTTAAAGATATGCACAGGACAGCACTACATGAAAAATAGAATCTGAGTCAAATGAAAAATACTTGGAAGCTGATAGAAAAAATAGCACTGAGAGATATAAGTTCTTCCTAAGATATCAAGGTGGTATGCGTCTCTTGAGATCTCAGAATTTAAGAGTAAATCCTCTCTGGGTTTAAGGATATTAAGTTGAGCACACTATTTTTGAAATAATAGTAGCTGCTGTTATTTATATTTATATTTATATTTATATTTATATTTATAGCCTGCCAGGCACTTTTTAGGTGTTTACAGGTTACTTCACCTTATTTCACCTCTCCATGGGGTAAATGTCACAAGCTTCATTTAGCAGAAGAGGAAAACTGAAGGACAAACAGGATCAGCAACTCGCCCAGTGGTTCCTCGTGAGCATATTGGCAGAGCTGGATTCAAACTCAGATCTCTCTGAGACCCAAGCCAGACACTCGGACCACGTCTGAAGATGCAACTCAGCCGCTGTTTTCTGATCGTCTTCTGGATGCGGGGCTCTGCGCTAGGCACTGCAGTCCTGGGATGCAGAGAGGAGTTTCCCAGAGGACGCTTCTCAGAAAGTTTACAGCCCGTTAGAGCACCTTCTGTAATGTGGGTGTTTCTGTCCAGAAAGCACAAGCAGCTTGGAGGTAGCTGAGCAGAGGTTCCTGCTTGTGAGATGTCCAATTTCATCTGTGACCCTTTCGGGGACATTAAGCTGAGGCTTGGAAGTGTCCGGTACAAGCTTGGGGGCACAGTTTGCCCTATGTGACAATGAATATGTCTCTCTTTTCCCTGCGTCAGGGCGGGCATCAGAGCTGAGATGGGAAATATATCATCTTGGATGTGTGTGCACACGCCTCTCTGCATCCGTCTCTCACTGTCACCGCCTGGCCACCTCCTTTCCTCCGGCCCTGCCACCCATACTCCATCCTGGCCAGCCCTGTCCTTCCTCCAGGTTCCTTCTGTCTGCTTGGCCACACCGCCTTCCTCCTCGGCAACCAGCCTTTCCTCCTGCGCCCCCCTGGCCACCCCGGCCCTCTGCTCCCTCCCCTAGCCCCATCCCTCGCCGCCTGCCCCCTCCCTTCCTCCCGACCCGCCTCCTGTGTCTCCCAGCCCTGCTCTGACGTGGGAGGTGAGGGGGTGGGGGGACGGATGACTCACAGTGTTATGATGCAGTTCCACAACACACAGCTACATTCACCCACAGACCGAGGTACAGACGAGAGACAACCTCTGGCCCCCCAGCAGCTGGCCAGCTTGGCAGCCCCAGTCTCGAGCCCCTAACTACTCTCCCCCGCCCCCATCCCCTTCCCAATTGAAGGAGCTGAAAGAGAAGAGAGAAGAGTGAGCAGAGAGATTGAGAGATTGAGAGAGAGAGAGATAGACGGAGATCTCTGGAGCAGACCTCAAGGTGAGGGGGCAGCCCTTCTCCAAATGAATTTTTTTCCCCTTTGCAAATTTCCTCCTCCTGCTGCGTGTTGCTTTCTCCCCATCGCAAAAGCATTATTCATCCACCCTTTGTCCTCCCTTCCCCCTCCCCGCTGCCTCTGCTCCTCTCTCCCTCTCCGAGCTCTGACGGTTCCGCACTTAGATTTCCCGGCAACTTCGGCTGCTGCATCAGGCCTCACTGTTTATTGTTTTGCTGCTGATGCAGACCCCCGAAGCCCGACCGGGGAGCTGGCTGCGCTGCTGATTATTTGGACCATACCATACCGAGAACGCCAGCCCGGGGGGGTGGGGGGGGGTGGGGGATGAAACCTCG